GATGAAAGGAGTAACCCTTTACGACCAGTGAATATTACGCATCCGACTTAGATTTTGTGAGTACGTTCATCTATCATCCCGTCGACCGCGGATTCGTTATTGAACCTAGGATCATTGTCATTAGTTTCTCGAGTACCTAACTACCACGCTTACTTGTCCGGTTCTATAATAATCGTATTTGCACTAGTCAATGTCTTCTCTATTGCATAACGACAACGTGTAACCCAAACGAAGATTCGTTTCACGCCCCTAACCCTAATTCTAATATAAACCCGACATATATATTTTAGCTATATAGCTATTAAACATATATAATAGCTATAATATATATATATAATATATAATATATAATATATAATATATAATATATAATGTATAATGTATAATGTATAATGTATAATGTATAATATATAATATATAATATATATATAATATAGCTATAGCTATAATATATAGCTATATATATATTATAACTACTATAGTTATTGAAAACATTAGAAGCTTTCTTGTATTTCAATTCTTTAATATCGTATCAACCACTTGTGTGGGTAATAATAAGCAACTCAAAGACAAGGTAATGTTAGAAGTTACATTAATGATAAAGATATATATTTTTTAATATATACTGATTTTATTTCCATATTTAACAGCTACAATTATATAAAAGTTAAAGAATCAAATAGTTACATATTAAATTATGTTGGTTATTTTGTACATTGTACAAATAAAAAATAATAAAATTTTACATTTCCCACATCACAATAATTAATGCATTATATTCTTTTCTGTTTTCATTATAGAAGATATATTATCTGATGAAAAAGGTGAATGTGTTATTTGTCTTGAAGAATTACAATCTGGAGATGTTATAGCCCGTCTACCTTGCCTGTGTATATATCACAAAAAGTAAGTTTTTATATTACATTTAATAAAATCATAACTTTAAACAACATTCATTATGTGCATAAAATAACTTTACCGTTATGTACATTTTTGTAAATATAAATAATACTATGAAAATAATAAATGATAATTAATATTTTTCAGTTGTATTGATAAATGGTTTCAAGTGAACCGTAGTTGTCCTGAACATCCTGGAGATTGATTTATACCCATTGAAGTTGTAATAGCACAATACAACTTGTTAATTTTAAAGACTCTTATCAAAATGAGAAAAAAGTGGGAGGAAATGAAAAAAATTTGAAAAACACTAGTCAAGATGGCTGCTAGTCCACTGTGCTGGTTGGTGTATGCAATTGTTTGACTGAATGAGATATATTCAATTTGAATATGAAAGCAGACATTTAACTAAATCCTTGATTACTACCTGTAAGCAGGGGACTTAAAAAATCGCCATAAAATTCAACGATACAATGCTATTATCTATATGTATCCGTAATTAATCTATTACTGCTCTGTAGCTTACTATTAATTGTACCATATTTACAAATTTTACTTAGTTTTACATTTTGAAATCGGATTAGGGTAATTAGGCTAATCTGTTATTGATTAATATATATTGTTTTTGGAGAAGGGAATATCAAATGAAATGTAGTAAAAAGCCATGAATAACAATCAGGCAAACTTTATATTACACAATTTAATTGCACTTTTGATGATTTCATTATAAATCTGTCATTTCATTTTTGTTATTTGTTGGAAAATGTACTCCAGAAAGGATATTTTTGATACTTTCATAAAAGAAAGAGTTGGATATATAAAAGTTTTAAGGAACAGACTTTTAGTAATAATGATGTTGATGCTGTAATAACAGTAAAAGATTAGGTTTCATTATTAAAATTTCAACTTTGTGATAAATTCCATTTATGTTTTTAGAGAATAGAAGTCCTGCAGTTATGAAATATAATTTATTGTTAAAGTTATATCATAATTAATATCTTTTCTACACAATAGGAGTTAACTCATAGGAGTTTTTATAACAAAAATAAACATGGTCTGTCAATTTTCCAATAATACATGCGTTGTATATATCTGGATTAGACTTGTATCATATAAGATAAAAAGTCTAATAAAGTAAAAATTTCAAACCAAATACAATTATAAAAGTGATTTAAGCATTCGGTATAATATCTATGATACTATAGGAATAAAGATAAAAGTTCTCTATGTTAATAAAAGAAAAAAATAAAATTTAGTATTGTTTTCAACATCATGAAAAACGATTTAATGTTATTGTTTACAAATTATTTTATCTCAGGACGTAATATTTTTAAGAGACATATAAGTAACTGTTTTCTTTATAAGCATTCAATATATTTTAATTATGATAGAGATAGATAAAAAATGTATGTGTTTATATAGTAATTTTTATATTTCAGTGTCACGATATAATATCCTTGCTTTATGCTTTAAATAATATCAAAGAAGTGATTCAATTTTTTTGTGAAATATTGAGTTGATGAAGTCATTCTTTTGTATAAGCAGCCCTATATTTACTTTGTTATTTATGGGATAAATTTAAATGCAGCAGATAAATCAGATAATTTACACATATGTCATAATACTACATGAAAAAATGTATTTTGTACATATATTTTAAAACTAAATGAAAATTTAATATTTTATAGAATATACTTATCGTGTTACAATACATCCCAAATATAGGCGTCTTTTAAAACAATTTACATTATTTTATGAATTTTTGTTAGAATGTTATTGAATGTTCGAATATTTTTTTATATTGAAATGAAATATTCGAATTTAAAAACTATAAAAAATAATTGTATAATTCTTTCAAAGAATAGATACAGTGGTGGACAAAAGTAATGACACAGTATAATTTTTAAAATGAAAAGCATAAAAAAATAAAAAGTATAAGCATAAAAAGATTGAATTCCAGTCTTTATTTTTTAAGAAACCTTTATCTTAGATGTTCTAGTGTACTATACAATAAGTAGTAAAAGATAAAGTGATATAAAAATAATAAAATTACGCCTTTTAAGAATTTTTATATGAGGGTAAATACAAAATGTTGACTTTAATGATATTATGATTTTTGTTTTAGAATAATATAGAAGACATAAAAATGAGTTCAATCAATGCAACATATAACTTGTTTATATACATAATATGAAATTTATAGCAATAAAAAAGGGAGCATTTAACCCTTTCGGGACGCTTAGCTTATATGTTGTATGGACAAAATACAGTCAACTAGAACATTTAGCCTATTCATTATATGGAGATCTTATTGTGACTCCAATAAACAATTTACTTTATAACACTATCTTTGTAAAAAAAAAAAAAAAAAAATGGAAGGAATAGAAGCTAAAAAGCAATTATCAGGAACCAGTAAAATGGCCGGTAGCTTCGAATCCTCGCTCCGTTTCATAAAAAGACACTTTAAGAAATTTTACCACAAATAAATAAAAATAAAAATAAAGCATATGATGTGCTATTTCAAACGTGTAGATGAGGAAAATATAAGAAAGATAAGAGATACTCATTGGCCAAACTGTAATCTGTTCAGATTTTATTTTGAAACTTGTCATATTACAAACATTTTTTATATCGTACTTTGTTATTCTATTAAGTACTGAAAGGGTTAAATTATGTATGTACTTTGTACAGAATAATAAGGAATCATAACCTTACGAACATGTATTATTTTGCATGCCAATAAATGTTAAATTTTTTCTATAGGTTCGATATACATAGCGGATTTTGTTGTTGCAGATATTATTCGCGCGTTTCTATAATATATAGAAGTGTAGTACTATGCAAATGGAATTCACCTGTATCATGTTTAAATTTCATTCGCAATGGTATAAAAGAAAAAAGAGAAGATATGATGATGCTGTTAAAAAAATCGTTTCCTTTGAAAAATTACTTTAAACATATTTGTTGCAGTGTTTTATTGTTATATTTTCGTAAATCATTCAAGAATCAAGCGTACTTTTAGAGTGAATATCTAGTATATAGGAACTACAAATTTACACACACAATTTCACGAATCAGCTGTCATAATACTTGAGCTAGTAGTGTTAGTAATTTGTCAAAAATGTATTGTTACGTTCCTTTAATTCTGACAATGAACATTAACTTATATATATATCTATAAGTTAATAAGTTAATATATATATCCGTTTCTGTGGATATATATATATATATATATGTTATATATATATATATATATATATATATATATATATATAGAATATATATATATATATATATATATATATATATATATATATATCGAATTCTCATTATGATTAGGGTTAGGGGCGTGAAACGAATTCTCATTTGGACTACACATTGTTGCTATGCAATGGAGAAGACATTGATTAGTGCAAATACGACTATTACAGAATTTGACAAGTAACCGCAGTAATCAGACACTCGAGAAGCTAATGACAATGATCCTAGGTCCAACAACGAATCCGCGGTCAACGGGGTAACAGAATGCGCTTTCTTCCAAAGCCCAAGTCGTAATCGACTTGTTTGGCTACGGTGAAAGTATTACTAAACTAACTCTTTGTTAAAACGTGGAATATCCACCGAGCGTAAAGACGACAAGTCACTCGCTAATACGACCTCATGAGAGAGAATGGCTTTCCGTCGCGATGATGCTCCAGAGGAAAACTATGATGCGGTGTGTCTAAGGACACGAGATCATCGGATTCGTCGGGGATAGCCTTCGTTCAGAAAGTGAGGGAAATTGACGTTGCTGTTAATTGGTCGATTTCCATATTGGTGGCTAGAAAAGGATGCTAGCTGTCCTTGAGGGAAAGTTGCTAGCGGAAGCGTTGTTCGTGAGGAAAATAGATTTCTCCGATCTTCCCATAGTTGGGATAAAGACTATTTGTCTGTTTGAAGAATCTTAATTAACAAAATCCCAAGATTTCTAGCGGGTCCTCAGGCTAGCTGAACTTGTGCTGTGTAGGTACATCGACATCTGGTAATCATTTTGCTCGAAGGAACCATCGGAATGTTTACTGTCGAGTATCTCTACAAATATTTCTTTCAATGAGGGTTATATTATTACTCCATACCTTTGTTAGACAAAGCGTTCGTCCCGTGATCGTGGCTACGTTCGGCGACTGATTGTCGCCTTGAGTCCAAGCTCATTGTCACAAATCTCAAATAAATACAATTAGGTAGAATGACGGTAATTGTTTAATTACGGCTATAGACTTTAATTACAATTTTACGGATTTTCCAGAAGTTCCAAAGGGAAGGCTCCGGTGTCCTTTTAAGTCCGACATATATATATGTCCACAGAAACAATATAACGTGTACAGAGTGTGAGAAAGTTTTGTGTTATGGCTAAACTCTGTTGAAGAAACATTCCACAAAAGTGATCTGGAAATTCGATTATTGTGTAGTATTCTCTAGATCGTGATATTCATTGTATTGTATTATACTCTTCACGAAATATCAAGAAGGAGTTATATGTTGCAACTCAATATTTGATGGACGAGATTGCTAACATTATAGTTTTTCAGGTCAATAAGGTTATAAGACAGGAACGAATCCATATATAATATAACAGGAAAAGTCGAAAAATCTTTGCAACTTTTGTTACTTCCGAAAATGAAGCTGAAACACAAAACACAGTATTTCGATATTGTCGAAGTATCATACCTGTTTTGAGCAGGGTAAAATAAATTTTTCCGGCATTAGTTTAGTTCACAACGCTTTGTTATTTACAAAGCACAATAACGAATACAACACGTGAGATGTATACATACATACTGAAAATTTCAGTGAAATCAGTTGATGCAAAAATAAGTGACAGGCATCGAAAGATGTAAGAATCGTCAGATTTATTACAGTTGTAGGCTCAAAGTCGTGAAAAACTGCGATTTTCATCATTTTTAATCGTTTGTAGCAGATAGCAATGTTAACCGATTTCGATGAAATTTTCGGTATGTATACATATAACTGACATAAATCTATAAAATATATTTTTTAAGCTTTTATTACAGGCACAGATAATGAAAGCTATAAGAGCGACCTTCACTATTTTCTCCGCGATTCCGATCATTTGCAGTCTTTTCAAAAATTGTTTACACGTCATCTAATAAACTAATCCTTCTAAATCCTTAAATATATTATCAATTATAAAATTAATTGATTTGATTAAATAAGTAATATATTATTAATTATGAAATGTACATTAAAAATATATTTATTCCGGGAAGGATTTTTACTAAGTAGCGAGGGAATGGTAAGAATTAGAGATTTATGTATATTTATTGTTTATAACCAATATGTATACGGAAGCATTTTTCAGTGTTCCGATATAAATTTAGAATAACTCCATATGAGAATTTACAATTTTTGCAGCAACTTGATGAACGTAAGTGTTCGACCGTATTCGTGTTCGCAATATAACGCGTCAGTGAGAGTCAACGAGAGAAAAATAATACCAAACACAAACGTTAGGAAAGCTATAGAAGCAAAAAAACAACAATGGCCACAAGAAATTACACTCCGAAACTCCTTCAGGGCATTGCCAGAAGAGAAAGAAACAGACCCGGCCGGAAAACCAATAACCCACATCGCCAAACCACCACCAATTTACATTGAAGCCCAAATAATAGACCCCCTCATTGAACTATTTAACAACAGGGCAGGAAAAGAAAATTACAGTATAAGACAATTAAAACAAGGCCAAGTAAAAGTATAAACGAACACCCCAGAAATTTTCAGAAAAGTGACAAAAGCACTAAAAGAAAAAAACGCCGGGTATCACACTTACCAGCTCAAAACTGATAAAAGTTACAAAGCAGTAATCGGAGGATTACATCCAAAAACAAATACAAATAACATATGCGAGCAACTAGTTAAAATCGGGCATCAGGTAAGAGCAATAAACAATATAACCAGGTACGATACTAAACAACCATTACTGCTATTTCTAATAGAACTCGAACCTAAAAATAATAACAAAGAAACTTTTTGAAATTAAAAAGGTTCTAAACACAATAGTAACAGTGGAGCCATCTAGACATAAAAAAGACATATCGCAATGCATATGGTATCAGCAATATGGACACACAAAAAATTACTGCAACAGAATCTTTGCGTGTGTCAAATGCGCAGAAAAGCACCTAACAATAAACTGTCCATACATAGGAAAAATAAATGAAGTAAAATGCTACAACCGCAATGGAAACTACCCAGATAGCTACAAAGGCTGTGTAGTCAGAAAACAACTGCAACGTAAACTGTTTCCGCCGCTTTGAAACAGGACACAGAACAACTTTCACGCGCTACAGGATAGGATAGACAGAAACTGTGACAACACCAAATCTACAGCACGTAATGAACAATAACGACAGTAATACCAATACCGTTGGTAGCTGAAGCTACGCGCAAGTAGTCAACCAATTGTCACCCTTAGACAATCAAAATCAGAACAATAACAGCAACGACACTACAGACATCAAGGAACTGCTCAAACAATCCATCAAAAACACCGAAATGCTAACAAAAATGATAAGCGAACAAAACGCAGTCCTCATACAGCAAACGCAACTAATCACAGTCATGTTACAACTTCTTACAAACATGCTAAGCAAAAAATAAAAACGGACACGCTGAAAATAGTAGCCTGGAACTCAAACGGTCTACAACAACGGGCCCTAGAAATTAAAACATTCCTATATAACAATAATATATACATATTACTTGTTTCAGAAACACACTTCACTCCAAAAAGTTACATGAAAATACCATACTACACCATATATGATACCAAACACCCTTCAGGAAAAGCATACGGAGGGACCGCATAAGAAACGATATCAAACATCACTTACACAGCCAAGTAAGAAAGGGATATACCCGAGCAACCACTTCCAGTTGTCAGTAGTATATGTACCACCACGACACAAAATGACAACACGAATGTGGGAAGAGTACTTTCAACACTTAGGTGACAAGTATATCGCAGCGGGAGACTACAATGCAAAGCACATGCTATGGGGATCAAGAATTACAACACCTCGAGGTAGAACCCTGGAAAAATACATTAGAAACAACAACCTCAATATATTATCCATAGGAAGATCGACATACTGGCCGACAGATCTGAGCAAAATTTTTGACCTACTCGACTTTGCAGTTACAAAGGGACTAAACGCAAATAAACTAAAAATAGCACCTAGCCTCGAGCTTAGCTCCGATCATACACCCGTAATAATTACATACAGAAACAAACCAATACTTTATAGCAATCCAGAGACACTACGTAACAAAACCACCAAATGGCAAACTTTTAAAGAAATAATCGAGAGCAAAACCAACTGCAACATCCCATTGAAAACACCCGAACACATCGAACAGACAGTAACAGCACTGACAGAAACTATCAAAGAAGCAGCATGGACAATCACAATACCTGAACCAACTAACAGACAAACAAAAATATTTCCACTAGACATACTTGAAAAAATTAGAGAAAAAAGAAAAGCGAAAGCAAAATAGCAAAAACATAGAACATGAGAAAACAAAAAACACCTAAACAAACTTGCAAAGGAAATAAAAAACAAAATAAAAGAGCACAATAACGAATTCACAAAATTCATAGAGTCACCCTCTGCACACGAGAACTCCAACTACTCCCTATGAAAGGTCACGAAAAAAATAAAGAAGCCAATAAAACTAGTGAAAAATAAAGAAGCCAACAAAA